CTTCTTCTCTCTCTCTCTCTCTTCTCTCTCTCTCTCTCTCTCTCTCTCTCTCTCTCTCTCTCTCTCTTTTACACGTACTCTGGTTGAGCATTATATTGTGCTTATCTTAAACAGATAGTTCACTCAAGTGAAGATAGGAAAAAGATATAAAAGCTGAACACAGCTAACATAATTTGGAAATGGTGGCTGTACTCTCATTTTTACTTGCACTAACTAAAGATGGTTTTTCTGATTAGAGTTCTTTTATCCGTTATCATGACAATTACCATAGATATTACTCTTTTGACCTATTATGCGATAGTAACTATTGTTTTGATGGTTAGTTTTCTTGGAGGTTCATTAATTATATTGCTTTTCTTAAAAGTTTCTTGCACAGTACGATATTTGCACGCATTATGTCAGTATTGTAAATGGTTCAGTATACTACACTGGAAGTTGTTAGATTTTGCAATTAACCAAATCACCTAATGTTTTGCCTCTTAATATATATTGTTTATCAAAGAAACCCAATTTAAGGATCATCATCATCGAAGCCTTATCCCAGCAAAACCTAATTTAAGGATGATTATACTTTTTCTTTTGGATAAATAATGTTCCATTTACTCTGTTGTAAAAGTTTAAAAGCCATGGGTAGGAATCTCATAATTAATGTATATTGTTAAATTTAATTCAATAGAAAAAGTGCTTTCCAGACTTTCTAATCATTGACATGTGTTGGTGGTGTAGGAGGCTTCAAGGAAACTCTTTTCAAGGTCCAATACCTTCAAGTTTTGCCCGCCTAACCTCATTGAGGGATCTGTGTGTACTTTCACTTAATTTTCACTTAATTTTTGTTTCTGTTTTAGTTCCCTTGTGAATTTCAAAAGGTTATTGAGTTCTTTTATTGATTGTTCTTTGTATTTGTTCAGGAGAATAAGTGAATTGTCTAATGGGACATCATCCTTGGATTTCATAAAGAATATGAAGAATTTAACTATCCTGTAAGCTAGAGCAGTGTCCTTAACTATCGTATGCTATCAGCAGATTTTGGCGTTAGATTTTGTTTTACAATCTTTAAAATATGTATTCCAATGTATTTCTTGTCTACTGCAGGGTATTAAGGAATAATATGATCTCTGGTATTATTCCATCTGATATTGGGGGCCATGCTCAGTTAGCTCACTTGTAAGTTGGTCCCTGGTTTTAGCTCCACATGAGCATTTGAAAAATTTCTAAGTGTTCCTTTGCACAATTATTTGGAAAGTCATATTTTACCATAGATTGACTTTGCATTATCAACCTGTTATTACTTCTTGTGGGGGTATAATTTTTAATATTAATAACGTTATACAAGTTTTGAGTGGAGATAGTTATGGTGACGAAATAGTATTATAGTGTCCACTACAGGGTGAATTTTTTAACCTGTTAACAGTTTCACAAAATGTATACAGCATATGATGACGGAAGTCAAAAATGATGGATTCAAATCAAGGGTGATGTAAAATAATAGAGTGAAAGAAAAAGTAATGCTCTAATATAAAATACATGTCACTTTGTGGACCGCTTTCAGGAATTAATCCACTCCTTCCATGGCTATGCCTTGACCCTCTCCTAATGCTTGCAACTCTATAGATCCGCTCCTAGCAACATAGTAAAGATATGAACAAATTTGTTACTTTATTTGTCAGCTAATAGAAATTTTTATCTAGATGATAAAACTGATGTATAGGTTATAGAAAAAGTTCAGATCTCATTAGAAAATTATACTGCATTAGAATATTGAAACTTGGCCTAAGAAGAAAATCTTTCATCGTTCTTCTTTAACTTTGATATTGGGTATGTTTGGGCTTATATCTTGTTTGTTGTACATTTAAGCAAAGCAATATTTCTGTTGCACATTGCAGAATTCTTAATATGTGTCTATTTCATTGGCCTCCCCCACATGTTAAGCAATGAACTACTATTACTTGACTAGTCTTGCAAACTCAATCTGGTCGAAGTTTTCCTTTCTTTTATTTAAGTGTCTTCAGTTGATGTTTCTTTATGTGATGGGTATGAGTAACTGATGTTCAATGTACATCTTTTGTTAAAGGTAGGCACTATAATAGTGTGTGCTATTTGGAGTAGTGGTGTAAATTAAATATAATGTAACTGGAAATTCCAGACTTGTTCATGTACTAACTTTCCAGCATCCTTTCCCTTGAAACAAAGGAAACAATCAATAAAAAAAAGTGATTTCATCAGATAATAACTATAAAAGAAAGGATGATTTCAACAGATAATAACTAAAACATGGCTGTCATGTCCTCATAAATGTTTAATATAGAACTTGCTTTAGATGGACTAATGAGCACTTCTGCATCCAATTCACTCATTTGGACCCATAAGAATGACTTTGCCATGTAATGTTTTTTACTTTATAAATTATTGGGTTTTCTTTTGCTCAAGGCATCCTGAAGTTTAATCTAGCTGTTATTTTTCTAACAGTAAGTTTAATTTGTTATCAGGGATTTGAGCTTCAATAGCTTGACTGGTGAAATTCCAAGCTCTCTTTTTAATATGAGTTCTCTTTCCTTCTTGTAAGGCAACCAAACCATGATTGTCAATCTTTGTGATTTACGTGCTATATTTTTCCACTGACATCTATTTAATGGTTCCGATCTCTCTCATGTCTCATTTGGCAGATTTTTGGGAAACAATAACTTGTCTGGAAGTCTTCCTCAGCAAAAAAGCTCCTCTCTTTCTACTATGTATGATACCCTAAACCACTTTGGGCCCCTTTTCCTGTTCCCCTTAGTTATATAAGAATAATGGATGGTAGTAATATTAGAAGTTGCCAACTTTAAGTAACATTTCTCAATTAACCTTTGCTTGGATAGAATGAGCTGAAGCCAAGGGAACAGAGGATCTGTGTTGTAGTCAATGCATTTTGTTGCTTAGCATGCAGAGTGTTAAGACATGGGAGAGTATACAATATTTAATGGACTATGGGCAATCATAGTCCTCTGTGCATCATTTATTGAGTGATGGAGAGAGTTGGGACCCACCATTGGGTTCATGATTTCATGTCTTGCTGCAATCTGGTCCCACTCTTTTCCATGGAAGCTCATGATTCCAGTGGACATTGATGATTCAGTCCTCAATGGTTTTTCATTGTATATAAAATTAGGAATGTATACAACATGCAAACAGCATCTGGGATGTCACAATACTGCCTTCGGGATACCTCTTATATTCTTTCTTTGATAAGCTATTATCTAGATCTGATCTTTTGAGAAATACTATTTACTGCTACTTATTCTCCTTTGTTTGTTATCATTGCAGAGATTTATCTTACAATCAATTAACCGGAAGCTTTCCTTTATGGATGAATGCTCAAAATTTAACAATGTAGGTCAAGAAAGAGATCTCAACTGACTCCAGTTCATGCCCCATTTTTAGTTTGCTTTTAGCGTTGATTGACATAAATATCTCTCTAACGTATCTGCCTGCGGTGGATTTGCCTGAATTTGTAGTCGAATTTTATCACACATTTATACTATCTGTTTGTAGTATATTTTATACTAACACTTGAATGTCTCTGCAGGAATTTGGTCGGGAACTCCTTCGTAATTGGAAATTCCAACAACAGGTACTCAAACTTAGTGTGTTTCTCAATTGTTATCTATCACTAGAAAAGTTCTGGTAATCTCTGTTCTTTGACATATGATAATGACAATCACAGCAAACATTTTAAAGAAGTATTAATCAAGGTATACACTTCGGCTTGCTACAATTTAATATAAAAAAGAAGGCCATTTCCTCATATGGTCATTTCCTCTACACAGAATGAAAAAATAAACTAATGAAACCAGGTGCATGTGTTTTCCTTGTTACTGATTGGTTGTTCATCACATATGTTTTGTTTGGTTCAGCGTTACTCCTGTAGGTTTGCATTGTCTCCAACGGACCTTCCCATGCAATCGAAATGCTCCACGTTGTGAGTTGTTTTCCTTTATCCTTTTTGGATGTTACTGTATCTTGTGTAAATCTACAGTGAGAAAGTTTTTGTTCGAGTCTTCTATGACAGGGTTGGTGTTAGTCTTTTTCTGGCATGCGTAGAGAATTCAGCATGGCAGCCCAAAATTGCTAACACAGTGAAGAGTCTGTTCACTAAAGCTGATGCAAGAATTAAGATAATATATATCATCATCAAAGCCTTTTCTCAACTATCTATATAATTTAATTACTAATCCCTACTAACAAATAACATTTAAAGAATCATGATTCAAGTTTTCAAATGTTATTTTATATGCTTCATGTATTTGGCTCCTACATGTGTGCTCCTATATACCATGATTTCCAGAAAATTCCATGAGGTGCCATCATGTCCATAGCATCAGTACAAATTTTCTATGCCTTATAATAAATATGATCATGCCCAGCACCTAAAATAGTCTTAAAACTCTAAGCTGCTCTGTAAAGCAATCATATTTAATCTCCCTTAATTTTTCCATAGGAATCACAACCTTATGAGAGAGAGAGAGAGAGAGAGAGAGAGAGAGTAGTAGTTGGGTCAGTCGTACCGTGTCGTAGGTAGTCTCGTCGTCTCTCTCCTACCAACTACTTCGTCCTACTCTATTTAACTCACTATACGTCCGTGTACGTC